GGTGTAGGTGGAGGAGGGAGGTGGAGGTTGAGGGCGCATGGCTATGGTGGATGGGTGTAGGTGGAGGAGGCGGATGGAGGTTGAGGGTGCCTGGTTATGGTGGGAGGGTGTAGGCGAAGGAGGGAGATGGAGGTTGAAGGTGCGTGGCTATGGTGGATGGGTGTAGGTGAAGGAGGGAGGTGGAGGTTGAAGGTGCATGGCTATGGCACACAAGCGGTCGTGGTTCCCGTAGCGACGAAAAATCAACCCTCCATATTCGTGGTTGTATGCTCTACAAGCTCCTCCTTCAGTTTCTTTCGAAGGTCGTAGGATTTCACAAGGCAAGTCATGTACTCAAGGTGTCGAGACAATGCGTCGGCGACTTGATTATAACAACCCTTTTTGTGTCTCAACTCAAAGTCAAAGATGTCAATTTCTGGAACAGTGAAGTAACGTAGGGGACAGGGTAGTTTGCTCCTTGATCCACTTCAGAGTCTCATGATCTGAGAACACTTTGAAGTGGCGTCCCAAAAGAGAGTGCTTCCAATGGTCCAAAGCCATACGCAGAGCATAGAGTTCGCACATGTAGGTGAAAGTGAATACCTTTACGTTGGGCATGCGTTTGCTGTAGAATTCGAGTGGCCGCAAGCCATCGCCGTCATCTTGCTACAACACTGCGCCAATTCCATACTGGCTTGCATCCGTAGTAACTATGAATGTCAGTTTGGGATCTGCAATGCGGAGTACAGGGTAACTCATCAATGTTTCTTTCAAAGCTTGGAAGGCATCCTTGCATGCGGTGTCCCAAGAGTAAGGGACATTCTTACTTGTTAATCGGGACAACGGGCGAGCAACAATAGAGAAGCGAGCCACAAACTTTCGGTAGTATGACGCGATGTCGAGCGCATCGGTCTGGCACCGCACAGGGGCAACGCGGGACCCTCCCGGCCGCGTCACGCAGGAGTTGGTTCTAAATCCTTGTCGCGAATATACACGGAGCTTATGTAAGCCGCTCCGACTGAGTGCGCCAGCCATACCTCTCGCGAGCCCCTACGACAGGATAGGGCCTACGCGAGGCACGTCTTACCTCCACCTTACGGGAGTTGTCACCTCCCTCTGGTGGGCGTATCCCCGTCGAGCTACCAGTCCACAATACGAAAGCTAATCAGCTGCAATCGCAGAGGTGAACCAGCCGAGGGCGTTTCTCGTTCGCTGTAGCATAGGGGG